ATCAGGGGCGACCGCTAAGAGATGAAGTCAGAAGTAGCCATCGATGAATCCAATTATCGGCTATTTGCACCGGCATTTGCTTCAAAAACACTATGAACTTTGTGTCCACTGTATCATTGGTAATTGGTACCAAATACAGAGCTCAGAGGACCGAGGTTTGGCCTCCGAAAAGCAGACGTCTGCATCTTCTATAAGTACTAGCAACATCATCGATAACAATCCAGCATAATGGCTGTCAATCTGGATCACTTTATATTATATCCATTTATAACTCAATAAAAGCCTCGTCAATACCATGCACATGTCTTCCCTCTCTAACTGGGCCACGGTAGCCCTCCAGGCCCTTCTTCTATTTTCTCCCAACATTCCCGTAGCTACTTCCTCACCATCTCCCCCAGACCTATCATTCCTATACACGGCCTACGTTGAATGCGAATCAAGTCTCATGAGCTCTCCCGGACCTCACGGTGTGCGACGTACAATTCCAATCGTGGGTGGAAACTTCACTGGTCCTAATCTATCCGGTAGCCTACATCCTGTACCCAATACCTTCACATCAATTACTAACATTCTTTAACAGGCAAGATTCTCGACGTCGGCGCCGACTGGGGCCTGGTCGATCCCCAAACCGGCATCTTCAGCGCAGACACCCGATACAACTTCCGGACAGATGATGGCGAGAATATCTTCCTTCAGACATCTGGACCGAAGTCGCCCAGTGGACAGCTACACCTTCGACTGGTGTTTGAGACAGGTAGTCGGAAGTATTACTGGTTGAATAATGTTGTTGGTATGTTGGATTCAGCAGTCTTTCGAGAGTAGGGGGGAGGGGGATTTTGATGGATGGGGTACGCTAACATGATGAGTAGCTATCGGCATTCTTACCAATGTGGCCGAGACGGCTAATACTAGTCTGCTCAGGATTGATGCTTGGAATGTGAGTTAATTGGAATGATTCTTGGTTGTTTGTGGGATGCTGACGAAGGTTTGAATGCAGATGGCTACGGATTGGAATTCGACGAGTTTTGTGAATCCGAGTACGACTACTACTTCTGGTTGAAAGAGTCCGAATAGATCGGTCGATATATTACCGGGATTCTGGTATTATTGTTGAGCCTGCTGGGGAGATAAGGTCAATCGAAGAAGGCTTGCTGCCATGCTCGAATTTGGCTGTATACCTATAAGAAGGGAAGTAAACGGAGATTCGATAACCTCAAACCATTACTTCAAACCAGCTACCTATTATGTGCAATAAGATGCTTCGTATTTACACGTAAAAACTGGAATTCTCTCACCCGCGGAGCTGATATGGCAGTGTCGCCGAATTCGGCGGTGCTCGGCCGACGCCGTGCGGGGTAAGTTAGCGATAGCGTCGAACTACTCAGTCTAGCCGACACACTCAACCAAGGTCCTCATATGTGTCATTCTCTTCCCTCGTTAACTGCACCCTCTTGCTCCTGAAGCTCTACTTTTAACTATTCATCACTAATTTCATACCATGGCTGCTGAAAACCCTCCCTCGCAGAGCCGTCTTTCGACGCGGATTTCCATCCGCTGGGTGCCCGAGCCCGCCTTCGAAAATACCGACACAATAGTCATGTCGGTCGCAGGCTGGTACGTCGACCTGCGCGTTGACAAGGCCTCCGGGGATATCGACTGGGCTATTGCGGGCCAGAGAGTTGTCGATGATGCGGATTCTAGTATGATTGTTTCGAGCTAATCTTGTTCGTTGAGAGACTAACGGTTATAGGTCGGGTGTCGTTCACCCATGAACTCGACTCTAGGAATTCGTTTGACGCGGTTGATTGCGGTACATTTTCCGCTCTTCCTAATGGCGATGATCTTGAGAAGGGCGAAATGCCTCGTGCCGACCTACCTGGCTCCCCGATCGCAGAGTATGAGGAGGTCTGGCGTGAGTTGAAATTTCGGGAGGGCCCCGAGGGCCCCAACACGGGTGTTTCATGGGTCCTTGAGTCGAAGCAGAAACCCCTGGAGGAAGGGGAGGAGGCTGAAGTGGAGAGGACTTTCCTTGGGAGAATTTGGGGTACGTATCTGGCTCTGCACCAGGTTCAGATACATACTCGTCCCCGGGGTTCATCTACGACAATCGTTGAAGAGGGACGGGAAGTCAGTGCTAGGAGGGAAGAATGGGACTCTGCTTCCGGTTGGCAGCTCAAGTACTCCATCGGTCCCGCCGGAGCTCAACTACCTTCAACGAACCAAATTCTCGGGGATAGCTCGTGGCAAACTGGCCAGACAGTTATACTTTCAGGAAAAGAATACATCGTCAAAGGGTTCGAAAGAATAGTCTAAGGTGCGTCACGTTCGTCTATATACTCATTACTCTATATTATATACAAGTGATGGTTGCTTACAGCTCGTTGCTCAGGACGTAGCGGTAGCGGGCCTTGCCAGCGTCCATCTCCACAACGGCCTTGTTGGCGTCCTTCATGGAGCGCTCCTCGATCCAGGGCTGGACCTTCTTCTCGGCAGCCAGGGCAAGCATCTCACGGATCTCGTTGGGGCCTCCGATGAGGGAACCTCCCAGCTTGGCACGCTTGCCGATCAAAGCGAAAGCAGGGATCTCAAGGGCACCGTCCTCGGGAGCACCGACCTGGACGAAGCAACCGTCGAGGTCGAGCAGAGTGGCGTAGTCCACCATGGGCATCTGCAAATGTTAGATTTGAGTGCGATACAGATGCGTTGAAGAGACATACCTTGGAGGAAGAGACGGTAGAGACAATGAGGTCAAGGGAGCGGGCGTTGTTCTTGGCCCAGTCGGCATCGTCATCAGTGGCGATGTAGGCGTCAGCGCCGAGCTTCAGAGCATCCTCCTTCTTGTTGTTCTTGCGAGAGATGGCAACGACCTTGTCGGCGCCAAGGGCCTTGGCGAACATGATACCGAAGTGACCGAGACCACCAACACCAATGATACCGACACGCTTGCCGGGAGCGCAGCCGTAGTGCCTCAGGGGAGAGTACACGGTGATACCACCGCAAAGCATGGGTGCAGCCTGGGCGGAGGGGATGGCGTCGGGGATCTTGACAACGAAGCGAGAGGGAGAGCGGTGGTACAGGGAGTAACCGCCGTAGGACTTGCCGCCGTTCTGGTAGACGCCGTTGTAGGTGCCAACCATGGAGTGGCGGCAGTACTGCTCAAGACCAGAGGCGCACTCCTCGCAGTCACCGTTGCGGCCACGGCAAGAGTCACTCTGAGCACCAACACCAACACGGTCTCCAACCTTGATATCACCCTCGGCCTGGGAACCAACGCGAACAGCGACACCGACGATTTCGTGACCGACACAGCAGGGGTACATGGTGGGGCCCTACATCTTGTTAGCTTGCAGTCAAAGGATGGAGTGAACGAGCATGCATACCCAACCGCTTCTGAGAGTGTGCAAGTCGGATCCGCAGATACCGCAGTGGGTGACCTTGATGTCAACATCGGACTCCTCCCAGGGCTTGGGCTCGAACTCCTGCCAGACCATGTTGCCGACGGAGTTCTTGTCAAGGCCCATCCAGCCCTCAAACTTGTAATCGGAAGCAGCCATTTTGATTGAGTGTTTGAATATGGAGATTATGATTATCCACGGAGTATGATTGTCGATTCCCCAGGGGTACTCTTGGACTTTATATATACGGATCACTTGCAACCAGGACAACGGAACAACGGGACAAGATTAGAAATCGAGCAGACTCTGGTCCACTTTTGATTCATGCGTGACGAGGGTGGAGACATGTTCCGTCCGAAGCCCATTCGATGACATACGATGATACGACAGTGATCTTGGGTCGACCCTGAATGGGTTACGACATCGGATTTACACGCCCCTTAATGGCCGGTAAGCGTACCTGAAAGCTTACCAGCGATCATGCAGCTGGCGCAGTTCGCCGCAATCGAAGATTTTTCAGCATGAAGCTTCCTGCCACGGGGCAACGGCATGGAATTTGGTTGAGGAGTCTCATTGGGTCCAGTTAGTAAGGGACCCATCGCATGGTGATGAGTTCCAATGTTCGGGATGGGGTTCCATGGACCTGGTGCGGCTAACGGCAGTCTGCTTACGGCCCACTCGTGTGCAGCGGAGTTAAGCATAAGATGCTGACAGGTCTTCCTTCACAACAATACAACGATCAATCGTCCATTTATCTAGAGGATCTTGATATACATCTTCTGTATGTGATTACAATTCTAACATATCTCAATTTTTCGCCTTTCCGACCGTGAAAATGGCATCAATGGCTTTATAGACGCGCCGGTGACCGATGATATCTCCGGCGCTTACACCCGCCGGCGTTAACAAAACGTTGGGCTAGTGCCGATCTTTCTCCGGCCACGGAAGGTGAGCCAGCCGCGGCATCCTGAGATTCCGGACTTCCAATTCCACGATTCGAAACTTCTAGAGCCTGAGCCACCCGAGCGGTCAGCCCGTGGGATTGCTGTCAGCGGGCCGCCACATGCTGTTCCGCTGTGTGCTCCAATAATAGTGTATTGGTGGTATGACTGGAAAGCTTGTTGTGCCTATTCATTGGAAACTAGCCACTGGAAAAGTTAGATTGGAAATTTAGATTGGACTTGAGGCGGACTGGAATGCTCCATGACATCATTCTCGTCTGATAAATGCTGGGCCGGAGATATCCGTCGCACTCCAGATGGAGTCAGTCAAGCTGACGGCTGACAGCGTTAGCTACGAGCCGAGTCCGGGGTTACTGTTCGATGGATGACAGACTGGATGATTTGTGGCCACTTGCCAGTATGTTCTAGACAATCGCCGATGCTAAGCCGTGGGTAGTGGATTTGGAGGTATCAGTAGTAATGATATAACTCTGCTGCTACAAGTCCAGTATGTCTGCACAGAATAACTTATACATACGTCCATCACGTAGTAGTCCCCAATGAAAACCCTGAAAACCACCATCAAACCATTATCGTCTCCCTCATTCCATCAACAGTAAACTCAACACACGATACAATACGTCGTCACCAACAGCCTGCGTACTCAATTCACAACCACCGCCTCCCTCACCAAAAAATAATGCGTCGTCGGCTCAGTTCCCCCAAACTGCTCATACTCCACCGTAATCTCATCCACAACCCTGAACCCATGATTCAAATACACCTTCAACCCCGCCGGCTCAGACATCACATACGTCTTGATGCCGTACTGATCCGCCACGCGTAGTCCACTCTGCACAAGCATACTTCCTACCCCTTGTCTCCAGTAGTCGGGGTGAGTGGTGAGGTATTCCAAGGCTATGTAGATCATATTGTCATTAGCTTACCATAATATATCATTCCACCACTTGTGGTCAATAGATAGGAGAAAGAAATAGAAGAATTCATACTTAATACCTCCTCACCCCCCACCACATCCCTCAACACCCTCTCCTCAACCTCCTCTAACGGAGTCCCTCGAAACTCTAGCAACCCATCGCTTTTCATTCCCTTGACTCTGCCCTTTTCGTCGCTTCCGAGATCATACATCTTTCTGAATTGTTCTTTCTCCTGGGCAGATGGCTCGGGTACTTGTGCGGACGGCCATACGTCGTCTCGGTTGGAGAGAGAAGGAGGGAGAGTCCATCGCGCGTAGCTGATTACTCTCTCTTCACTACCTTCGTCAGTATGCTCCACGTTCTCGGTCCCTGTTCCGGGGGTAGTGCTGGTAAGGACAACTTCATGTCTCCGGACATCCCGCGCTGTACTCAGCGTATGAGGGAGACGGGACGCAGTCGAGGAAATGATGGATGATGGAGTGGTGGAGGGCGTGAAGAGGAAGGCCCAGTGTGGGTCTGTGAGGCGAGAGAGGATCATGGTTTCTGCTAGGGTGCGGGAGTGGGAAGGGTGCGCGGGGTGGAGGGTGTATTTTTGTGGCATTTTGGGTGGGCTTTTGTGTAGATGGGAGTGGTGTGTGTGTTGTGATGTGGTAGTGGTGGTGGTGATGGTGGTACAGAGTTGTTTGTATAGGAAGGATGTGGGATGAAGACAGGTGGTCTTTGGGATATGATGATGCTTATCGGGTGGTGATATTGCAGGATTGTCGGTGTGGTGCTTTGTCCATGGTAGTGCTTATTCTATGGATGATCTATGAGATGAGGGTGGTGGGTGTAGAGATATTAACTTTGATAATTATAGTAAAAAATTTGGTTCCAATTATAGTAGATGGCTCGTCTGCGATATATAAATATATTAGTTGTGCTCCGTACTTTTGAGCCTGGTTATTTATTTGTACATCAAGTGCACGTGTCAAGTGGTAGAGGATATCTAACTTTATTGCCATTTGTAATCTGGCTAGTGCTTATTTCTATGGCTACCAATGGTGTTGTAGATAATGTCAATGTGGAGTGATTCTGATGACGCTAAGCTGGAGATAAGAGCCGATGAGCATTGCCTGAACCGTACACGTGATGCGTCAGACACTGCGATGTAGGGTTTACTAAAGAGTGTTTGTCCAGTATCTATGCGTAGGTTGCGAGGTATGTGACATACTTGCCACTTTGGCGAGGTGCATACGTTATACACAGTAACAATTTCAATATTAGAATGCCTGACAGCCGTGCCAGGTATCGTATCTTCTCAACGGCAGCTTGGGAAGCTCTGTGTGGTAAGGTTATATTATAAATTATGTATTACTGTACAACGAATAACAATAAACGCATGCTGAAAGCATCACTCCTGCCGCATCTTCTTCCCTCGGGGACCGGCAACCGTTCCCATTAAGACTGCAACTAGTTAGTCAAGAACACTGACAAGGATGAAAGGGTACTTACTATCCCAATGCTTGAACGAGCTAGAGTAATTACCCCGGAAGTACCGGTGGTGATCGTCATGCCAGTCCGATCCTCCCCACAGCGGGAAGATCCGTCTCAGACTCCAAGGGAAATCGTATCCAGAGTGCGCGTCGATGGCCTGGAACTGACGCAGAGCCACCCAAGCCAGCACAGTCATCAAATGCACCTCGCCGGTGAAGTAGCCAAGGACCAAAGGGGGTCCAATCGTGCCCAGGCCAAGAAGCATGGTCTCCCATGGGCTGGCGTACTCGGCCGTCAGACCAAACGGCGCGGCATATTGATGGTGCACCCGATGGATGGCACGATAAAGAGGGCCCCAGTGGAAGGCACGGTGGAGCCAGTAGTGATACGTATCTTCGACGAAGAAGAAGATTGTGATTTGAATGGCGAGGGTTTTAAGGTCCGGAAATGGAAGGGCGTACTTAAGACCGAACAACTCCATCATCGGGTGGAACAGGACTATCATAGGCATTTCCACAATAAAGTGGATAGCAAGGATATATTTCACACAACTCCATTGTTCTCTTGCTGATGGGGGTGCTTTCTTGTCCTGAATCTTGAAACGATGAAAGAGTGTCGGTAGAGCGTCGGCGATTATCCACGGGATGCAGCGGGCGAAGTAGAGGATTTCGTGAGCAAGGAAGGTGATGATGCCTGTCGGAGTTAGTAGGTGACAGAAAAAATACATTGAAGGGCGTACCAGTTGCGATAATGTCATTATCCCAGTAAGCATAGTGTGTCCACCACGCCTTCTCCAGAAAAGACAGTTTCGGGTTTTGACTCGCCAGGGCATAGAGTTCGGGATATGTTGCCGCCGCCGGTGGCGCAAAGGTCGAGTTCATGTTGAACTCCATATTAGTGTACAAGCTTGAGTACATGCCCTCATCCGCGCTTGACAATAAAAATAAGCGCTTTTAAAATCGACTATATGTACTCTGAGTACTGTTGGTGACTTCCAGCCCTGGTGGGTACTATCCGGATGGTCTGATCCGGCACACCACTCGGATGCCGGGCTCGATCGACTGACCAGACCCCGGGCTAATTAATCATCCAACAATTCAATTTCCGCCCCGCTGACTGGCTCCCCAGATTTAGCTAAGCCCTCGTTAATCCTTTGAGACAAATCTCATACCATACCAGCCGGGATCTGGATTCGTAGGCTGCCGTGTTGGCTAGTCGCTAGTGGTGCCTTTGACCTCAACGCCACACAGCATCATGCACAGACCTCAGGGGTGAGGTCGAACGACGCCGGATGCCTGGATCCCCGGATGATGGTCCAGTGAGCTAGCTAGGAGACACCTTCCGTACGAGATCGGCAACAGAAGATTCCGGTATGCACCCCAGGCTTTGATCCATAAAGGTTGTGCCAGGAGAGCTCTTTCCTAATGTCTCAAAATCCCTCATGTTGCCACTCGCGTGAATGAAGTTGGTGATTAGCAAATTGTGACGCTGTGGAGTGAGGGATAAAGAGCTCAGCCTTGTCGGTCACTTTTAGGCTCGTCGTAAATCCAATAACAGCGACCGACTCAGACCTGCGAGCTTCTTTAGGAGACTAAAGCTCACATGCATCGATGCCAGAGCCAGCTAACAGCGGATTCATGTCTCATTCAGATCCTAATTTGGCAACAGTCCATACACGACAACTTCCCACATCGCAGCCTGTTGTCGCGCCAGGCCCCAGTGCCCAAGACGTCTCAATAGTTCAATAAAATGACACAGCATGCTGGAATGCATGGGCTTTGGCCCCCACATTCCGGGACAATTGACCTCCGCGAGTATCCTTTCACAAATAACCCCCGCGTGATTGAGTTCTGGAAAGTCGAATGCATTCTGTGTGACATCTGTGTGATCGGCTATATCCTTGAACTGAAGATAGCAATAGAGTACCAATATAGCTCGATGTAGAGACCGAGGCGCGTGGATTGGTGGCTCCTTCGCTATAGGTATACTCTCCAGGCAGCGGAAGGTCAGTACTGCATGGACAACGCACCGGCAGCCATCTCGCGAATTTGCCCAGGCTCGAGCGTAACACACGTGCCTCTGTGACTCTTCATGCCCCTCACGCCCAACTGCAAGTTCCAAGCGATCAAAATCCACCAGGGAGGAGAGGAACGTGATGTGCCACAGCGCTCTCAGGCAGAAGTTATCAGGGCCAACGGAAGAGCTTCTCTGGGTAATATTATTGCAGTAGAACTTCTCGAGCACACTTTGCTGTGAAGGTAATGCGGAGTAATCATCAGACATACGGGCATCACATACAGATCCTGCAATCTCCTCCAGGGCAAAGTATTCTTTAAAGCTGTTTTGTTTGGCCATCGAGTCCGAACGAACATGGGAACTTAGTTGTCGGGTTAAACTACGACTCCAGTCTGCTGCTGTTGGCGCGGTCCAGATTTCATCGTCAGAGATAGAGGACCTCAGCGACGGGCGTCTCATGTAGGGTTCTGAAAGAAACAAATCCGCAAACTCGCTATCCAGTATGGCCAATCCTGCTACGAGGCTAGACACGGTCAGTCGGGACTCGGTGAATGCTTGGGTAGTCTAACCGGCGTTGCTCTTCTTTGGCAACCCATGTAGTCCACGCTCCCTCTGGGTCGCGTTCGATTTCCTCTCTTTCAATCTCGCATGTTGACTGGTGACTGCGAAGCACCCGAATTCTCCGGACCCACTGGCTAAATTAGATTCTCGAAAGTCTACCACAGGGCAAGCATACCGTAATTATGGTATTATGAAAAACCTGAATCAGCAGGAGATGTCTACGCTTCTTCTCTATGTCAGACGATAAGACCCATTGGTTGATTCTGACATACTTACTCCGCTCAAATAACCAAACACCTGGCCTATCAAACCCGCCTGAGACATGGACCGTACTTCAGGCTCTCCTTTTCCAATGTATGTTTCCCACTAGGAACATTAATACAAGGCACTTCCCTTTCACTAAGGAACAACCTAACTTACGGATGCTAGTATAGCTTTGTTGAGTGTTTCAAAAATCCTGGTGCCACAAGAAATACCATGTCTGGAGCCTAGAAACAGACTACCGATTGAGCAAATTGAAAGCAACAGCAAAGCGTTTGCAGTTGAAGGTCGGAATGTTGGCGCATGGACTACGGGAAATATGGGATGGAATTTAGCAAAGTACATTTGTATGCACATATTCTGGAAATGTCAGTTACGCAGAGGAATATGTCATCAAGCACATACTAGGAAGTCCGTCGATGGCAAGGGATCTGTTGGAACGCGATATTGTAGACGCTCAGTCAAACCTTGTCGGTAGGGCTCATCAACGGTTGCTCGTGATTCTCGATCTGGCAATCCATGCTCTGTACCTGGCGCCTCGGGGTGCGTGAACCAGTGACGACAAACTATGTCTTCGAACTTATCAGTGCCATTTGGTAGACTTTCACCTGTATGCAGGAGCGGGTCGCTTATCGGGCCCATGGTTGCCGAGTTCTGCAACAACGCTGGTAGGTTGGTTGATGCAATAATGGCAGCATTCAATGCATTGATATCGAAGTCATCAGTAGCGAGCCAAGTGGGAATCTGCGTCATGCTCTCAAGTGTCCAATCATAGGCCTGGCACTGTAAGTTCTCATTCAATGCATTGTCCGGTGGGCTTAGGGAACTTGGACAGCCATTGGGAGAGCTGGCTGCCGGCCCCGGTTGCTGTGAGACCTGTTCGTATGCCTTGTCAACTGTTGAGCTATTTCCGTTGGCTTCTAATATCGTAAGACACTCGTCTTTTCCAGCACTTGAAGAAAAAGGAAACGTAGGTACATTTCCGGGTTCTGGATGGTCAGCCGATGACAAAGGCGGCGTATCTAATAATAGAGGCGGCGTTTGTAGTGAATCCAAAGCAATGCTGTCATCCAATCTGGGCGCAGCACAGAGGGTATTATTAACTTGGGAATTCCGGGCAGATGTTGGCTGCTCTGGAAGTCTGGGCTGCTGGGGACTAGCCTCTCCGTGATTACGTGCATGTCGCAGAAGGGAGTCACTGGATGGTCAGTCTAAGAGCCATTACCCAATACTGATGATAGCATACTGGCGACTGAAAGGTTTACCACATACAGAACAAAGGAACGGTCTCTCCTTTGTGTGGGTTCTGATATGGCGCGAGAGATGATCCTCCTTGGTGAAGGACTGAGAGCACCAAGGACAGCTCCGTTGCTTTCTGTTGCGAGGTCGACTTGGGGGCATGTTGGCAGCCAATTGTGAACCAAACTTCACTCGTTATCGATCGGTTGTCCCACGTCTAGCATGAAAAGCATGGCTGGAGTGTCTGGGGGTGGGGGAGGGACCATTATCACCCGCTGCTAGTGATGTTGGGGGGTTGGAGTCTTCTAACTAACTAGTCGAGTACTCGTGATCAACGCAGGCACAAGCTGCTGCCTGAGGTTCTCCTCGGCGTCCCGCTGGTCCCACCGGCTTTACGGCTTTCCCCTCATCCTCTCCTCTTCTTCCCCCCAACGAAATCTCGGGAGATCAACATTTATGCCAACATGGCACAAGGGTTCCAAAGCAGCTTATTTGTGGCTTATTGCTTCCTGCTCTACGGTGTACAACAGGTCATGCAGGTTGACCTTCAGCGCCAGGTCCCGCCAGCGCCGGCTGTTCTTCCCCCATAAGCGGCCTCCACCCCTTGCCACGGCTTTATCAATCCCTGGTCAACAGCTTTATTTTGATCCACGGTGAGACCTGGCGCAGACAAATACCTAAGCATAATGAACCAGAAAGACTGGGAAACGACTGATGTCGTTATATGTGGATGTGGTCCTACGGGCGCCCTGTTATCCGCTTATCTCGGTCGCGCCGGTGTCCACAATGTGGTACTGGAGAAGGAGCCAACAATCACCACTGATCCGCGTGGGATAGCCTTGGATGACGATGGAATTCGTTACCTACAGGGCCTGGGTCTGTACGACTTTATCTATACAAAAATAGGCACCTGTGAGTCTCCCTACCGCCACCATACTCGGGAGACTAACAAGCCGAGCAATCAGCCATGGGAAGATTCAATTTCGTCAGTGGGACCGATTGCGATATGCACAAAGCTCCGATTCTGGCAATGGACTACAACATAGTGGGCTCTATCAATTCGCTTTGATGTGTACCCACTGACGGTGTGAAGATCGCAGGAGCGACAGGCCATGTCGGCTTCATAGGCCATAAACAACCCGTCCTCGAGAGCCACATCAGGGACTGCATGCCTTCATCCCATTGCTCCTTACGATGCAACGCGACTGTCATTCGTCTGGAAGAAGACGAAGACTGGACTTACTGTACATACCGTACCGCGACCGGAGAAGAGCACAGTCTTCGAGCAAGATTCTTCGTGGGCGCGGACGGGAAGACAGGCTACACGCGCAAGCAATATCTGGAACCGCGAGGCGTCATCTTAGAGAAATTCCATGAGTCAGTTAACCAACTCTTCTGGGAATTGCCGTTGCTGACAAGACAATAGAGCCTTCTATGAGGAAACTTGGGTAGCATTGAACTGGCGAATCACCTTACCAACACCCCAGTCGCATCCCAGCTTCCCACTGTGGAAGCGAGGTTACTCACCAGAGCAGGTGTATGACCTATTCTTTCCGCCTGAGTTTCGATTTCTTTGCAATCCGGACAGACCAGCTGTTGCTGGGCGCTTTGGCCTCCCGGCTGACAGACTGTGGCGGTTCGAGTATATCATCCATAAAGGAGAAGACGGTTATGTGATGGCTAGTCCAGAAGAAATGCGACGCGTTGTTTATCCCTATATCACACACAGGGGCAGTCGATACCAGTATGTCTATCTTCCTATTGCCCGGAGACAATAGCTGACCGCGCAGGCTTGCTGGAGACGTACAGTTTCCTGAAGACTGCATCGAAGTACTCCGCTGTCGCCCGTTCACATTTTCGTCGCGGACCTGCAACATATGGGCGAAGGATCGAGTGATACTGTGTGGCGATGCAGCTCACGTATTTCCGCCCTGTAAGTCATAACCCTCTCCCTGCACGACCTGTGTTCTCATAAAACATTATTGCAGTTGGCGGGCAGGGTATCGTTTCCGGTTTCCGCGACGCAATATCACTCTCCTGGCGCCTAGCTATGCTCTGTCGCTACCACTCTAACCAGAAATCTCATCATGATGTCCTAAAGGCTTGGTATGAGGAACGTAAGCAACAGCTCAAGCTTTCACTAGCAACAACGGTCGCGAATGGAGTTATGGTATGCGAAACTCATCCGCTGAAGATCTTTCTCCGAGACTGGTACATCTGGTTCCTCCAGTTCATTCCCAGCTGGAGACGACAATTACAGCACGGTCGCAGAAATGCTGCGATATTCCGATACAAACATTCCAGCGGAATGCCTTTTATCCCAGATCTAAACGGTGGTCTATATCTTCCGCAAATATATTGTCGTCGAACAGAGGACAATGAGATACTTTTCACAGACGACGCAATTTACGATTCAGATAATACCACCTCTCTCTTCCGCTTATTTGTATACGTGCAGGACTCATCCGAGATCCCAGCTATCAAGCACGCCCTTGAGGGAATAGAAAATTGGTCCCGTGGCGAGTTCAGGGCAACCGACATCCCCTTTATTCTAGAAAAGGGTGATATTGACCCAACGGGCTCATCTAAAGGAAGAAACATCTTCCACGTCGCTACCGCAGACGAATTTGCCAACTCTCCCTTGTGCAGCGATCGTCCCAGGCCCTCGGATTACGATCCTTTCCTTTTAGGAAATAAAGTGCAGGGGAAATATATTATTGTGCGGATGGACCGAACCGTTTTCGCATCCTGTGCGAACGAGGATCAATTAAGGGGTGCTGTGCAGACAATGTTGGGTTATCTCTACGGTGATACTTCTGCTGAGTACTACTCGGCGAAGATATATATTAGGATGTAGACGGGTTGAGGAAAGGATTGTCTGATAGTACTGAACCAGATCTCTACTCCTTTTTCATTTTGCACATGTAAACACATATAACTACTAACATCTATTTTCTACATCTATAGTAAACATTGCCAAAAGTTCTACAAAAGTCTACTTTGATGTGATCCTTGGTTGGGTTGGGGATGAACTGGAACACAAAAACACAAATCATGCACTGGAAGGTCACCTGACCGATACATAGACCGGTCGCATCTACGCCAACAAGATTAGACGGGGATTTTTGTACCGGATAGAGATCTAAAAAGCATTCCAGTAGAACAAAGCAATCTCATTTCTTTCTAACGAAACTGTTTCAAACGAGGGAGTGAGTAAGTAAGCAAGTAAGGGATAAGACAACAAGAAATCAGACCACACTCAGCGACCGTGTACTTGTTGAGTGAGCGCTTCCCTTCCCTTCCCTTCCAAAGCCAAACAAAACAAACAAACAGCAAATTAGCCCCACATTCTGAAAACAACTGCCCCATGGCCCCGCAAGCACCACACCACACCATCTTCACCCACCCACCGCCTTTTGTCCTCACATCGTCCCACCCAGCTTGCCTGCCTGCCTGCCTAACATTGTTGGAGCGGTCTAGCCAGTTCCACTATCCGCAACTGCAACTGCATCCTCAGCACTAATCCCATACTTCGTCCGTAGCCCCTTCATAACCAGCGCCGCTACACCAGCGACAGTCTTCGCCTGCGAGATCTCAAGAACAGATGTTTCCAGATCCAAGCTACGTCGAATCCAATACTTAACTTCCAATCCCATGAGGGAGTCGATAGGGAAACTGGCAATCTGCTTCTCGTCGAGTCCGGCCTGCGCCGAGAAATTGCCGACGCGTTTCCCGAGTTCGCGGATAATGGTGCTCTCGCATTTCGGGTCGTTTAGGAAGGAAGGGTCGTTGGCGATGGCTTCGAAGAGGCGGAGGAGGACGTCGGCTTCTTGATTGTGCGCTTCGGCTTTGCTGGTTCGCATTAGGGATGGGATGTTGAAGCGCACGTCTTGTTCGAATGAGGCTTTGCTGTTGTTTATTTCCATTTGGTCTGGGTTGAGGAAGGAGGTTACGCCAACCAGTATGTCTAGTGGGGAGGAGATCAGGGACGGAGGGTCGGTGGTGGTGTTGGTGTGTGGTAGGGCGAGACGGAATGCGTCGATGACTTCTTGCTCTGAGAGGGAGAAGCGGGATTGTGTTTGGAAGAGCTCGACTAGCCGTGTGTTGCGACTGAAATTGCCGACTTCTTCGACGGCACCGAGAGTGACGCGGGTTGCTGGGAGGCCTAGAGAGCGACGGTAGGTTACGAAGGCGTCGACGAATGTGTTCGCGGCGCCGTAGTTGGATTGGCCTGGGTTGCCGGATGTTCCTACGACGGAGCTGAAGAGGACGAAGAAGTCGAGCTGTTTTCCGGAACAGACGTTGTGTAGGTTCCATGTGCCACGGATCTTCGGGCCTTGGGGTGCGGTCCATTGCGCGTATGACATGTTCGCGAAGAGTTCGTCCTTTTGCAGTTGGGCAGTTTCAGCACGTTTTCCGGGGTTGGGTGGTAACTTGGGAGGTTTACCTGTAGTACTAAGGAGAGGTTGACGACTCCTGCGAGTTCATGCTCACTGGCAGACACTGCTTGCTCGACGCTATCTGCGTCTTCGACACTTCCATGGATTACAGCCACTGTGCAGCCCTGGCTCTCGAGCTCCTTGACGTAGGCTTGATCAGACTCAGATTGTCCTGCTGATCGTGACATTATAACCAGATGTCTGGCGCCGTTGGTAACCATCCATGTCGCTAGTACTCGACCGATGCCGCCAAATCCACCAACGAGCAGGTATGACTTTGTAGCAGAGAAGATGTATCTCTTCTCGATCGGTTTGTATTTGAGACTGTGAGGCACTTCTGGCATTTTCACAACAATCTTACCAATGTGCCGGCCTGTCTGCATATGTCGGAATGTACTTGCGATATCGTCTGCCTCGAACATCCGTGGAAACAATTGCGCCTGCAGACGCCCTTCTTGACAATAGGTAAACATCTCATTGATTACACTGTAGAACATTAGTACCCAGGGTTCATGATTAGTGTCAGTACGGGATTCGAAACATACCCCCGAACAAGATCTGGGTAGTCATCGAGCATCTCACTCAAGTCAACACCAAAGAACGAGCGGTTATTTGCAAAGTGCACCATCTCCAGCTTCCCATGCTCTAGCATGTCACGCTTACCAATCTCAACCATCTTGCCCATTGGGGCCACGCAGTCCCAAGATGCATGCAGAAGTTCGC